ACATAAATTGGAACATTTCCACAATACTACATTATTAATACCAGACGACACAAAATCATTGAAAATATCAACATCCTCATCTCATACCAAATCAATTCTAGAAAAAAACACCTAATAGCACGTTAACGCCTGAAATCTACAAAAACAGACAGTACCACCTTGTAGCGAAAAACATAAACCAGCAAAAGCGGAACTTCACATCGCACTTCCATCAGATTCTACGTAGACCTCAGCCCAAATGAAATTAAAAAGATTCATGTATAATTCAAATGGTTGTAATCGAAGAAAATGGGTGAATTCAATATCCTCATAGATTTCGAATATTGAAGGCCAAACATTGGATAATTTCGTATCAATGCCTGATTCATAATAGTCCGAAATCATCCATCAACCCAAGCTCCCGAATAATTCTTCATTGTTTTCTCATTCCTTTCAATTCATTGAAGCAGGAAATCAGCATATGTAACAACCTCATCTTCACAAACAATACTGCATCAAGTTTGCTTTCCAGTTGCTGGTCCCTCCTTCAGTGCCTTGAAGGTAGATTTGAGGGCTTCTAAACCCGAAGAAATTTACAAGGGCTCCAAAAAAACCCTGTAATCTTTATCTTTTAGGGTTTCGGGTTTAGGCTTTAGGGTTTAAGGTCTGAAGATGAAACCCTGAACCCTACAACGCCGCCCAATACCAAACTGGGTTTAGGGCACGGGAGTCTTTGGGTGACCACCCCCCCGCTCTCATCCCTAAACCTGGTTTAGGATTTAGGTGTAGGGTTTACAAAACCCGAAGCTGCCACAATCCGAACAACCGCAAACCACCTTTAGATATCATTCTTTCCTTTACGATACGTGTGCTTGAGGCCCAAGCCCAAAGCATTCAAAACAAGCCCGAATCCGTAAGCCCCAAGCCCTGAACCCTACGACGCTAAAGCCCAAACCAGAAATTATAGCATCCAAAATATAGGGATCTGAAAACTTGGAAGAGGGTTTTGGGGGTTATGAAAGTATCATTACCAAGGGACCATAGAGGACTACTATTAGTAATTATTTCGACCCCTATAGTAATGCCTATCCGCTAGCCCATGCTGAGGCTCCTCAGCCTGCGTCGGCCCAAGCTGGGCGAGGCGTCTCCTTGTTCACGCGTTTTTGTTAGGAGGGGTTCGTGCAGGTGTTATGGGGTTCAGGTTGACTCCCGGCCCACCCAGGCATAATAATTTATTTCAGTTTGCCCGCGTGGTGTTTGTGCATGAGGGTTGAATGCCGTGGTAGAGGCAGCTCTACCGGTACCGTACAGAACACAACTAGTTCTCCCTTAACTTCAGCGTGGGGAACCCTAATAAGCCTGTACCAACCTGCAGAAATTGTTTTTGTTCAGGAGTGTTTTTCTCTGATGCGCCTGATGCTCTATAGACCATGTTGTTACATCAGTGGTGCTACTTATCAACAGGCTGAGATCCCAGATGTGAGATACAGAAGTCAACTGCACCAGCACCGTATGCTTGCAATTGTGCATCGAGCAAGGCAGAACACCTCAAACACAGGCATACCCTAAACCCTCAACCCAAAACCCAAAAAACCACAGAACAACGCTGAATGCGAAAATCAAAGCAAAGTAGGTGACGGAGTTCTATCTCACATCCAGGCATACGACAACACAAGAGCAGCACCTCAAACACATCAGGCAAATATCTCCTGCAGCCATATGACAAGACAAGAACACCTCAGCAACATAGGCAAAGGCTTGATTGATGAAAAAACAACAGAAACGAAGAAGCACTCAAAGAACAATGAAAGCGGAAATAAACGTAAAGTAGGTGACGGAATTTTATCTCCAGCACAGGCATATGACAAACAAGAACACGTGAAAAAAGCAGGCGACTGCTTGATCAAAACAACAGAAACGAAGAAGCACGCAAAGAACAATGCCAACGATAATGAAAGCAAAGTAGGTGACGGAGTCTTAACTCCTACCCAGGCATATGACAAAGGAAGAACGCTTACTCAAAATCTACAGCAAGGGACAGCAGGTCTACACCCTCAAAGGCAAATGGACACGAGGTAAGGGGGCATTAATCAAAGGTTTTGTCACAAGTACTGGCGCTGGCCGATGGCAGACAAATTGGGCCATGGCACTCTGCCAACACCTTGGAGGTCAAAAGCCCAAAGAAGCTCCAGGAGACAAGATCACACCTAGAAGCGAAAGGCATTTCTCCAAGTCGGGTTCCGAAGAGCATGAAAAGGCCATCCGAACAGCTGGAACCTTCATACGTGGCCGCCAGGCGTACGGAGTGACAGCGCTTACACACGCTGGGCCACGCGAAACGAAACCACTTCTCCACACAAAAACATGAACCATCACAGGTGCACTCATGATCGAGTGCAATCGCATTGGTTTTTGGCACAAAGAACAAGAATGTGCAGGATGTGGCAGCAACTATGTACTTGTACCATAAAATTATTTGAATCTGCTCAGGTCACGAAACCCAAAACCCTGAACTGTACACTCCTGACTTTCGAAGTTCTGGGAGGAGGCCCCCTTTGGCGCCTGCTGCGTCACCGCTGGCCCTGCCAACTCTTGCAGAAGCGAGGCTGTTGCCTTCCAGGGCAGAAGGGGTTTGGGGCTTAGGGCGTAGGAGTGAGGAGGTGCTATAGGTTAGATTCGCGCGTGCTTATCACGCAATAAGGCCGGGCCCCTCAATGAAGAATTGGTATGATACTTCCAGTATGACGTTTGGGTTACTTTTCATCAAGTGTTTGTCCATGTTGTTGAGGTGTTCTTTGTCATATGCCTGGATGCCTGGGCAGGAGATAAAGCTCCGTCACCTACTTGGCTTGTTTTTCTGCTTTCATTGTTCTTTGGGTGCTTCCGCCGAACCCACATGCCAACGACGACAAAACCTACCGGCACCGTGTCCTGCAGGGACCTTCAAGGATTGTGAGGCAGCTGCAGACGCTTGGCCTGGATGATAAATCTGCTGGAGGTTCCGCATTGGGGACAACATCCTAGATGCGCCTCGCCACTTCACGGCCGACTACGCAATTAACTGGCCCGGCATTGACTCGCGCACTAGGGTCAAAATCCCACCCGAAGATAGAAACGCCCTCAAGATGAAGCAATCGAAGAACAAAACGTCCCAAAGCCGAGAGGTCCCCAAATCTCGAACGCTAATTTTGGAGCTTCTGTACCGTGTCGCTGCAAAGCTCTCTGTCAGGAGTGCTCCCTGCAGGATCAACGTACCACGCTCCAAAGCATGGGATTCAATCCCGGCTAGCATTTTGTTGATGCAGATTCCTGCCGAGACTCACAAACGCAGCGCGCCCCAGAGCCATGGCGTCCTCCTGCAATCTCCCTCCTTCCCGACACGGTATGAAATGTTCACAAGCTGCATAACTCAGCATTCTGTTGCTTCTTTTTCTGCGTATTCTGGATCGCAACCACTTCTGCAGCCATGACCTGCCAGCAAATATGAAATCGCTTGAGCTGTCTGCGAATCATCGAAGGTCATCCAAAGCTCACGATGTCACCGTCTTCCTGGCCGTTCCAAACACCCCAAGGTGCAAACTTCCTTGACGCATGGCCCTGTAGTCCGTCAATTCTGACTTGGAATCGGACGGTGCCAGGGGCTGCACACATCCAAAAGCAACGTGAGCCGAAGCTTCCTTTCGGGACTTCCAATTCGTCCACTTCCAGGTCTTGCGCATGCAGCGGCGTCGGGTTCCTCTCCGTGTGCACCATCACAAAGTTGTAGCCGTGCCAATTGAAGTAATCCTTGGCCCACTTGAACACGTATCTGTCCTCTACGAGCTCGTGGCGACTGAAACTGGTGTGAAATCCATCCACCCAGGCCTGCAAAACTTTTGCTGCTGTCAACTGACTGGCATCGCAGGGCACTGGTCCCCACTTCTTCCAGGGAGCGCTCATGTCAGGCACAGCTGGTACAGTAATCTCCGGCTCGGGACCCATTGGAAACTGCTCCGGGTTCTTTAGGCGGTGGAGAACTTCCGCTGCCATCTCCTCCCATGTTGCTTCGAGAAATGTTTGGGAGCCTGTTCCTGTACGGAGTCTTAGCGTGGCCCAGACAGCTGCTGCTGCTGTCTTCGCTCTAGTGCGGAGGATCTCCTCCGGAGGCTTGAGTGCCGCAAGAAAGACTGAGGTCACCGTACCTGTACGTAACATTGACATGGAGACTGCTGCTGGAAATTGAAAGCTCAGATGATCTCGGATGATTAAGTAACTGGAGAAGCTGAGGCTGCGAAACACGTTTTCTGGCGTCACCAGCGTCAAGGTCAGCGGAGCTTGCACCGAATCTGAGGACATCAACAACGCAGTGGAGTCGGTCAGCTCTGAAAAGCTCTGGAAAATATCTTCGTCTCCTGCCTCCTCGCCGAGCCATGAGCCCTCCTCAAGCAGGGCTCTCAGCCGAGTGAGGACCGAGCTTTGCAGCTTTCTTAAGTGGATCTGCTGGCCGTCAAGACTGCCAGCTGGACTTTGTGGCGCAGCGCAGGTTTCTCTCTCTTGATAATGGGACAACTGATGCAGAATTCCTGCTGCTGCCAACGAACGGTAGTCCAAGCCATGCTGTGCTGCCCAGCACTCCGCATGCAGTCGAAAGAACTTAAAATCATCATCTCGAATTGTCACTGAATCGACGGAAACGTTGCTTGAAGCGCCACTTCGCAGAGAGACCTGCAAGGAGGCGACCGAGCGCCGCTGAAGATCCTCCGTAAGAGCAAACTTCACGCTGCCACCTTCTGGGCTTTCGGCAAAGCAGTGCAACAGCTCACGCTCCTTCTGAGTCATGCCGCAGCTAACTTGGGCGCACAAGGCTCCGATGGCAGGGTGGTCATCTTTCAAGATACACCCAACTGAGAATATTAGCGGCACGAAGGGCTTCAACTCTTGTGAGCAGAAAGTTTCCCAATTGCACAGCCACCGTTGGAGCACACACCCACCAGCCCTGGGAAGCGGCAGGAACATGGACTGTCCGAACGAATACCAATCATATTCTGCACATGCCTTTGGGTATGGTCGAACCCCAGCAGCGTGCTCTTTGAGTTCTGGGTGCGCGTACATGTCGGTCCATGATGGCGCATACCCCCCATGCTGGACCGCAGATCCGAAATCGGCAATCTTGATGCACATCAGCTGCGTCACGGGCCTGTCATCGCAACTCTTTGTCGGTATCGGCTGTGCTGCAAGGAGCAGGTTGCTTGGCTTGATGTCGTTGTGGTACACTCCCAATAAGTGCAATCCATGCAGCGTAGGTCCGACTTCCGTAAGCATAAAAAACATGGCGTCGGCCCATTCCGCCGGCTCCTTCAATGCTGACAGACTGTCCCATGCGCGCTCCATAAAAAAGCCTGGGATTTTGTCAACGCCCGGCCATTTGACCTCTGCATCACAGTGGTATTTGATGACTCCAGAAAGCTGTCGACTCATCTCCTTGTGCAGGTCGATTTCCGTTCTCATGGCGAGAGCGCTAGCATCGCAGGCCACCTTGGCTTTGCTTCTTTTCCCTCTCATTGACACCACTTTAAGTGCCAAGAGCTCATCCGGATGCTGAAAGACAGATGCCGTCCCGCCATGCCCCAGTTTGACAACTCCGAATGTCTCCTTGCCACGGGAAGAGTAGACCAGCAAGCGCTGATGCACAGTCACTTTTACCATCCTTTTCTCTTCCGGTAGCTTCAAAAGGGTTGTCATCGAACCTGCGTTGAGTTCAACATTGTTGCCAGAATGCTCGAAGGTGAAGTCGCACTCCTCGTTTTCCCAGTCGTTGTCGGCGAGGAACTTCTTCACAAGCTCAGTCACCTCCCTAAATGTTGCCTCGAGCTTCCAACCCACGATCTGTATCCCTGTGGACGACTCTACTCTCACACGAAACAGGCCAGCTTCCTCTTTGCAGCTGCACATTCTTGACAATAGCCCATTTAACACCAAAGACCACTAAGACACTGTCGGGCCGAACATGCATCACACAACAGGACACGCGACAAGCTCGTGCCCTAAACCCCTACTGGTCAAACCTGAAAATCTAACAATCCCGTTAACCCCGAACCCTAAACCCTGCTGGGCGCGCACACCCACGGCCCGAGTGCGCCTTCTGGAATAGCAGCCTCCGCCTGCCGAGAAAAACTTGTCATAGCGACAGACTGAAGCGGCAAAAGGCAGAGTTGGACTGTGACAAGCAACAACTTGCCTTCGAACTGCTTTTGATGTGCAGGGGTCACGAAGAGTTGAAAGTTCGAAGCACAGACATGGCATATTCCTTGTCTGACGCTGACCGTGCGCGTGCGGCATGGGCCGCGGCATACGGAAGCACTGTACAACAGCAGCCTCACCACGAGAATGCAGCTTTCGCCCTCGCGGCCTTACACAAAGCCATGGATATTACCTCGAACGCGCGTCGTCTTCTTCCCACCTCTAGACAACAGGCACTTCAGACACATTGGCCTGCCATCCCGCTTGCACCAATCGCACAGCTCCCGCTCTTCTTCTCCGCTTTCTTCTGCTTCAGGAGCATCGCTGCCTCCCGCACCGCTGCCTGTAGCACTGCTCGCCGCAGTGTGCAGACCTTGTGCTTCAAAGGCAGCAAGGGCACCATTGGGTATCTGAAAATTGTCCGCTTGTGCCAACTGCTCCATGAGCTCGCGGATTTGGGGGTCCAATTCCTCTGACTCCGGTGCGTTGCCAGACGTGCCTGCATCCTCGGAGCTGGCGCTGCGGTTGCCATCAACTCGGTCTTGATCTACACTTTTGCCTGAGCCCTTGGGTGAGCCGCCTGAGCCCTTGCCCTTGCCCTTGCCCTTGCCCTTGGCTGGGCCACTCGTCGTGTGGCTTCGCCTGTTGCTGGAAGTGTCTGCGTTTCCAGAGCTTGTGCTGCGGTTGCCACCATCTCCGCCCTGACCCACACCATTGCTCTTGCCGGAGCCTTTCGCTGAGCTACCACTGGTGCTCCCAGTTCGGCTGCCTCCCCTGACAGCAGGAAACCTTCCAGCAGGGTTACCAATGTTGTACTTGCCATTGTCACCGCCGCGGCCGGCTCCGTTGTTGCCGCCACCACCACCACCACCTCCGTTGTTGCCTGGGGGGACACCGCCGTTGTTGTTTCCATTGTTGTTGCCACCAAGGCCACGACCACCGCCCCCTTTGAAGCCACCATTGTTACCAACTCCGCCGCCACGGCCACCACCGTTGTTGCCTCCAAAGATGCCACCATTGTTACCACCCACGTTGTTGCCGCCACCACCATGACCTCCGTTGTTGCCGCCACCACCATGACCTCCGTTGTTGCCGCCACCACCATGACCTCCGTTGTTGCCGCCGCCGCCACCTCCGTTGTTGCCGCCGCCACCACCTCCGTTGTTGCCGCCGCCGCCACCTCCGTTGTTGCCACCGGCACCACCTCCGTTGTTGCCTCCATTATTGTTACCTGGGCCGTTGCCTCCGGGACCCCCTTCCTTCCCACCGCCACCACCACCGCCACCACCACCCCCAAAGCCGAGGTTCGTGACGTAATTGACCGGATTAAAGTCCAAGACAAAGGAGGGAGCACCCAAAGACACATTGCCCACGCTCGCTGTGCCAGCACGGATACCAACAGCTGTGCTCCCGGAGATGTTGACATTGCCCGTTTCCAGCCCAGGTCCAACATCAGCAACAGCATGCACTCCAGCTGCTTCGACCGAGACATTGCCAGCATTCAGCTGGGCACCGTGGGCACTGCCGGTAGCAGAGGCTTGAGCCCCAGAAGCAGACACGTTGCCGGCATTGACACTGGCTCCTTGCGCTGAAGCATTAGCACTTGCTCCTGCACCAGTGACATTGCAGGTCCCAGCTGTGGCTGAGGCACCAGATGCCGAAGCATTGGCAGAAGCAGCGGCACCAGTGGCCGCAAAGTTGCCAGTGTTGGTAGTGGTATTTTCGGCTGACGAAGACGTGCCTGTGAACACACGTTCAATGACGCCTTGCTGGGGGCTCTCGAGAGCCTCACTGCCGGTGCTATCCCTCTCCTCATGTTGCTCTTCCGGCTCTTGCTGCCGGCTGTCCTCTTCGCTCGCTTCCTCCTGCTCTTGCTGGTGCTCGCCCTCAACGTCAGGCTGTCCGTCCTCGTGCCTGTCATCCTGCCCTGCGTCATGTTCCCGGTCCCTCTCGGGCTCATCCTGCGAATCCTCTCCCATCTTATCCTGTGCGCCCTCCTCCTCCTCCTCTTCCTCTTCCTCCTCTTCCTCTTCCTCCTCTTCCTCTTCCTCCTCTTCCTCTTCCTCCTCTACAGCTTCGGCCTCGCTCTGCTTGTCCGGGCTTTGCTGTCGATCCTGATTTTCAACGGGCCCCTGTCCCCAACTCGTCAAGATGAAACTCCTCAAGCGGAGGTACATCGAGGCTGCGAGCCTGGCTGTCTCCTCTGGGATTTGTCGGATGAAGTCCAAGACAGGGCCTGAACCTTGCGGATTTTCAGCAGAAGGCCCTGTGGCAGAAAAGTTGAAGCTGCGCAGAGCCTGCGAGGATCTTTGTTGGTGGCCGCTTGGCAAAGCCTCTTGCACAGCTTGACGAAATCGTTCTTGCAATGCTTGCCGCCACCCTTGTGCATTTGCAGGCGGCGATGCTAGCAAGAGATCCTCAGTTCGACGTTGAACTTGTTGCTGAAGGTTTGCTTCTGCTGATGACTGGCGTAGGTTCCGGCACAGCTCAACAATGTCTTGCCTTACCGCCTCTGGCAGCGGTGCGCCTGCTTCCTCCTGCTGTTGCTGTTGCTGCTGTTGCTCTGAAGCTTGTGGCGGGCAGGCACTCGAGCTTGCTGATGGATGCATTGGGTTCGAGGGTTCCGGCGAAGAATCGGCCAAGCCTAAGGACGGTCCTGAGGGCAGCTGCTGCAGGGGTGCAGCGAGTTCTTGCGGGGCATTGCTTAGATCCTGCACCGGGCAGTCAGCCAGCCCCAGTGACGGCAGCAGGGGCAGATCCTGTGGTGGTGTTGCCAGTTCTCGTGGAGGACTGGTCATCTCATGTGAAGAGTGAGCCGAGCTGGGTGACGGCTGCTCCCACAGCCGCTGGGGAGGTAGCACCTGCTGGGGCAGCGGTTGCACCAGCTGCTGGGGCGCCGGCTGCGGCACCGGCTGGGCTGGCACTACCTGCAAGGGCACCGGGCGCGGAGGTGCCGGCTGCGGGGGCACCAGCTGTGGGGGCACCAGCTGTGGGGGCACCAGCTGTGGGGGCACCAGCTGTGGGGGCACCGGCGGGGGCACCGGCTGCAGTGGCACCGGCTGTGGGGGCACCGGCTGTGGGGGCAGAACTGGCTGTGGGGGCAGATGCTGCTCTCTGACATTGTCCCTGTCTGCCTCCGCGCTGTCCTCTTCCAAATGATTTTCTTCTGGATCATTGGGTAGATGTTCTGGTGTTCCAAGTTCTCGTCGGAGGTCGCCCAGCTCCTGGGACGAAGAGTCCGTCAAGTTGGGCGACGGCTGTGCGGGCACCTGATTTACGTCATTCTCCTGATTTGACTCCTCTTCGCTGCTGTCCTCTTCGCCAGAATCCTCAGTCGATCCATCGTTGCCTGGATCGTTATCGTCATCGTCTCCCTTGTCTTCACCTTGGTCCTCCTCCTCCTTCTTGTCCTCCTCCTTTGGTGTGTATGGTCTGAGTGTCACTTCCACCTCAAGCTTGCACTTGCCAGTTGTCATGTCTGCGCTCGGCGTGAATTGGATCTTGATCGCTGGGAGGCTCTTCAACGCCTGACGCAGTGACTTCACATTGCCGCAATGCTTGAAGTTCGGTGATTCCCAAGAAAGGTAGCCTGATCCTTCCATGTTCACTGGCTGCTGGAGCCCTTGGTCCCATTCATGGCTGCCCCTGAAGACAAGCTCGACTTGTGCTTTGCTGCTGGTAATCGAGAGACCAGGTTCGAGAGAGATCTCGAATGGTTCTTTCGGCCAGAACTGCTTTGTGCTGAAAGCAAAGCTGGGCTTTACGAACAACGTGCCATCTTTTTTTCTGCCAGCCTTCAGCGCAAAGATGTTTTTTGGGACCTTCATTGTGACATCAACTTCCCGCAGGTCCGGGCTCCCAGCAAGTTTGGCAGTCCACTCGTTCATCTGCTTCTTGTTCCCCGCAATGGAGAACTTCATGCCCCCGTCGACCGGCATATCGAAATAATACAGGATCCGAAGACCGTTGCTATTGTTTTCTGCGTGTCTCGAGGCTTAAACAAACGGCTGCAGAGCAGTGTGCTTGTGCTCAAGTTTGCGACTGCGATTGAGGTCAACTTGAGGTTTGGCAGTCTGATGCAGTCAGGCAAGATCTCACACGACGGATCGTGCATCGCCTCGGACTGCGACATGAACCACCTTGCTGGCGCATCGCGATGAGGTCCCTGGCCAAGCAGTAGGCACCCTCCACTCATCGAAAAAACTCGCCTACAAACACTCATCTAAGGCTGCAGGCGGAGCCACATCGCAATGTCCCTGCAAGCTCATTGGCCTCACTACAGCTCTCATTGGCCTCATACAGCTCGGTTACCATGACAAGCTCAAGTCTATGTTCTCATGACAAGCTAATTTCTGTTTTGCAAACCTCTCCGCAGCAAAACTCACGCTCACAACTCGGCACAACTCCTGTACATGTGCAAGCAACCCCGAAGGTCGGTGCATTTGCAGGGCCGGATAGCCTTTCAAGAAGTCCCTTTGCAACCAGGCCTATGACTGATGACTTTCACATGATGAGATTTTGTGTCCTGAAGGATTGTGGTACCTCGTCCCACCATGCAAAGTCCGGCACACAACGGCGGCTGTGCTTCCAAAAACGACTAGCAGCTTCAAAACATGACATGACCATGGGCAAAACCCAACTCATGCCGAGCTTGCCTATCGCGTACTCTTCTTGCCTTGTGGTTTGCCCCTCGAGTGAAATCCCCTGCAGCA